TCTATCTATCTATCTATCTATCTATCTATCTATCTATCTATCTATCTTCATTTAAATTAGGAAAGATGGAGCCCACAACAGGGAAGGTGAAGTCCAGAGACGGGAGGAAAAAAAACAGCTGGCTTCCCGTCTTTTTTTGATGCCGTTTTAAAGGATTCTGTCCGTCTCAGCTGGGATGAGCTCTGATTGGTGCTCAGAGGTTCGGGTTAATGCCTCATCACTCATGTGGAGTGGCCATTTGTGTTCACCGATTAGCGGGGATTTAACGCTCCCCCCCCCTTCCTCCTGCTGCCGTTTTCACCCCGTTCCACCAAAAACCGGAACCAGCCCGACAGCAAAAGGCAGCAAGAAGAATCACAGATAAAGAACCGGTTTGTTTCCACTAGCCTTTGCTTCCCGGGACACGTGGCGCCCAAAAGTTTGAGCAATTGTCCTTTAATCCAACATTTCCATCACAATAATTACAGCAGTGATTCAACTTTTGAATTGCTTTCAAATTAAACTGTAGTCAATAAAAGACAAAGACCAGAACAATGGAACGGCTTTTGAAAGGTCTTGTATTCGCATTTTAGAGGCATTAAAAACACATTTAACTCATTAGTGAAGTCAAGTGTGAGAACATGACTTGTGCACGGTTCATTTTTTGGTTTCGTTTTAGAGGTTGGTTATAAATCCAAAAGCAATCTGAATTCAGAGAGTCGGAGACAGCAAAGACGTTTCTTGTTTTTCCGAGAATTTCCGCTTCGTTATTCAAAAACGACGACACAAAAGATTGTCAGAGGAGACTGAAGGAGAGCATCAAGTCATTTTTTTAATTGGCAGCCCTGCACGACTGCTTCCATGTTGCGTTTGTGTAAAAATATCCAAAATCTGCATCAGTCAGAGGGCGACTGACACCACTAAGAAACCAAAAAGACAAAAAAAAGAAGACATTTTAGCCCTTAAACATTGGAGCTTTTTACTACTCAAAATAATTTAACCCACCCATACAGTGCCACCCCCCCAAAAAAAACAAAAAAAAACAAAACATCAGCAGTCATCACAACACTTTATAAATGCACATATATTTATATATAGTATGTGAATATGTACAGGCCGGAAAAAATATAAAAAGCAACTTTTTTTTGCAATGTAAGGCAACAGAAAGTTCTTCATTGATTTAAAATCCCAGCTTTAAAACGACTTCAGACGAGTGCATGAAAACGAGGCGGATGGATGGAAGGATGAATCCAAAAAAAAGAGGGTAGAGGTGTAGTGTCTGGGACCAGTGGTGGGTATCAGCTAGCAAAAAAATGCTCCAAAAAATGGGGAGAAACGGGCATGAAACCCCCCAAAAAACACACATGAGTCAGGCCGGTAATGGAAACACAAGTCTGTTTTATCCACCACAACCGGGAGGTGGACGTCGGAGAAAAAGGCACGGAGAGGGGGGATTCAGTCTGAAGAGGCAACCCCGGGAGGGGTTGCCAGGTCCCTCTGACCTGGCAACTGCTCTGGTGGTCACTGAAGCTGGACTCTGTAGGCACAGATGAGGAGCTTCACCTGCAAGCAAAATATAGTTTAGTTAGCTTTGTCTTCAACTCAATTGTTTCTTTTTGCAATCAACTCAGTGCAATATTCATTGAGGTTTCTTTTGTGCAATAATATGTACAGTGGGGGAAATAAGTATTTGACCCCTTTGCTGATTTTGCAGGTTTGCCCACTTACAAAGAATGCTTATTTTTTCCTCATCAGATGGTTATCAATTTTTATAAATTCATATGATGTGATTTTCTGGAATTTTCTTTGGGATTCTGTCTTTCACTGTTAAAATGTACATATAATTAAAGTTATAGATCGTTGCATTCTTTGTAAGCGGGAAAACCTGCAAAATCAGCAAGGGGTCAAATACTTATTTCCCCCACTGTATATAAATGCTCTTACCCTGTATATATCTAGCTCTTAGTTATAGAAAACATATTTATTAAGTAGGAATAAGGTCTTAGCTCTGTCACACTGGTAGCCAAGTAATCGACATTTGGTTGTCAAGATTCACCTCGTGTTTTTTGTACAATTACAATAAAGGAAGTTTAAGTCTAAGTCTAAGTCTAAAGAGTGAGTTTACCTTCACAAGGAGCCCACAAAGGCTCTTCTGAAAGCCAGAATGACTGTTTCTGTTTCTGCTTCTCAACTCCTTAACTCGCTTTGAGGATATTCATGCTCAAACTGAGGCATCAGCCTCTAAAAGTATTACTATAGTACATTAGTATAATATGAGTAATACTCATATGGTCCAAACGCTCATCATATATGTTCAAAACAAAGCTCCTGTCTTAAATTTATAAACCCCACTGGATGAAAAAATCTTTAATGACTCATCCAAATCAATTTAAAGTTGATCTGAAGTTGGGTAAAAAGGGGAATCCTTTAGACTTTCCATGTCTATTTGAAATGTTTATTACGTGCGTGCGTATATTTGTGAGTCACCTTAGCCGTCGGTGCTTCTGCCAGCCGAATGAAGAGTTTGTTAATGCCAGGAATTGGGTTGAAGGAGTAGATGAAGTGACTGTCCTGGAATGTGGAGAGCAAAAGACAAAAAGATGGTTAAGAAAACCAAGTTTACTGAACATTGAATGCAGCATTAGAGAAGTCGGTACAGCTCAAAACTATGTCACCCACTTCTTTTCAATGATTTCCGTGAGATAATGAGGTTTTATTAAACCAAAATTGGCCTTAACTCATTGACTGCCAGAGTTTTTTGAGCATTTTGACTGATTTTTCAAGAGCCACAGAATAGTTTGTGCTATGACTATGTAAACATGAACACACCAAAAGAAAGAGTAGACTCTCTTCTTTCATCAGGAAAAAAAATGTGTTTCTACCTTATTCCGTTCTTCCTCGACTTGCGTCTCACCGGCGACATGTTCTCTCAAATCGAACCGTTACCTTTTTCTTATTTGCCTACAGTCTATGCTCATCTCCCATCAAAAGTGGCACTGCCCCCTAGAGGGTCAATTTGTTAGTACATACTCTGTCTAGAAGCCTGATATTTACGGACAAGCTTTAGCAGATCGTCCCCCAGCCACTCTCGTTGAAAAACATAAAAGACGTCTATAGACGTCTTTGGCAGCCAATGAGTTAAAGGGATTTTTTTGGGGAGCTTTTTATGAGGTCTTTGTTGCCTTTTCTTGATGAGAACATATCAATCATGGTGAGGTTTTAACCAATCATCCCAACAAAAGCAGATATTTGATTTCATTTCCTGTCAGTATTTTGTAGCTGTAGCATGGAAACATCCCTCCATCTTTTTTCTCCTGCTTATCTCAGTTGGGTTGTTCTGGTTCAGGAGGGAAGCGGGGATCCCGGGGCTCCTACTGGTGGAGGGGGGGGGTCCCAGTGTACCCAGTGGGAAACGGCATTGCCCCCCCCCCCCCCCCCCCGGTGGGTGTGGAGGAGCTGCAGCTCTAATCCCAGCTCCCTCCGGAGGGTGGAGCTCCTCCCCTCATCTGTGAGGCTGAGCCCAGCCCCCCCCACCCCCCCCACCCCCCGAAGGAAGCAGCAGTATGCATGACCTCATTCGGATGAATCACTGCATAAATTGGAAGAATAGAAATTGTTCCGAACAGCGCTGGAATCGGTGGAATCAATCTGGCTCTTTTTTGACGGATTCTCACACTGATTATTGACCTAATTTTCTGCAAACGCAGAATAAAACCGGGTCCAGAAAATGCAAACTGGCTACAACGGATTATCGACACGAGACTTAACGACCCGAAAATGATTTTAGCCCCCTTATGCTAGATTTTAAAGAGAGGAGTGGCGGTCGTAAAAGCTTTTTTAAGGAGCTAGCTTGTGGCCCTCTCTGTAATTTGGTGTTTTTTCTTTAAACCGACCAGGAAAATGGGCAGCTGGAACTTGTCGTTGAGCACCACGGCGTGGACGCTGCAGGGCCCGCACAGCCTGGCCGTGATGTCGTTCAGGAAGTTGGCGTGGAAGATGAAGAGCAGGATGCCCGAACCTGGAGGAGCACGCAGAGACAGGGAGGCCTTTAGAGAAAAAGCAATTCCTCCACCAAAAATCTGCACTTTTATGATCCCATAAAAACATTGAGATCAGCCAGTCAGCTGCTGCTGGTGGTCCCGCACATTTTTACCTATTTATTTATTTTTACATTAAAATCACATATACATGCTTTTTATGTACAGCACTTTGGCAACTTTAATTATTTAAAATGTGCTCTATATATAAAGTTTGACTTGACTTGACCAAAAATAAATAAATAAATAAACAAAAAACACCATCGTTTGGGAGGTTATGGTCCACGTGAAGCGATAAGTTCAATAAAATGAAAGTTTCCCTTCCTATGAGAGCAGAGACTGTTTCCAAAAAGGCCCCTGAGTGAGCAGTTTTAAGGATTTAAGTCCACTTTCGTCCACTTACAGTCGTTCCATCTCTGCCTTGTGAGGAGGGGAGGGGTTAAAACATTTAGATAAATGGCTCGGCTTAGAAAAGGTGTTTTACCCTCGGGTTGGGGCTGCGACTTGAAGCCGAACTCCATGGAGAAGTCGGGGCCCTCACACAGCCGGTGGCAGGCCAGGGGGAAGACGGGCTCCAGCAGCACCAGGCGGGACTCAAAGTACGCCCGGATGGTGTCCTCCGCCACGCTGGACAACCTGAGAGATGGAGGCTTTACACTTTACATCCGAACCTAGGGTTGTCAAACGTATCGATACTTAAAAAAGTCAGATTTATTTATGTTGTTTATGATCATTAACAAGACGTTAGCCTTGAACTGCTAGCTGCGGCTAATGGATAATAATGACATGCTACCATTAGTCAAGTACATATCCAACTCCGCCCACATCCAAGTCGGCCATTTTGATTACGTCACCAATAGGAAGATTCCAGGCAAGAAAATGGTAATGCCTCATGGCAATATAGACATCAATTCTTCTATCTTCTATCATCTATCTTTCAAACACTGAATTAAACTCTATCCATAATATTATGTTAAAAAAGTGGATTTCAAATAGGTTTGTACAATAAGTCCAAACAAGTTTAACCAAAAAATATTTATTTTCTCACAATTATGAAGGCTGGAGGGTTTGGATTTGGGTCATTAATACGGGCCACCAGTCACGATAAAATCAGTAACTGGTCAGTTTGAAATAAAAGACACTAACCTGTCAAAATTAGGTAAAATATTGGGGTCTTTGTTTTTATCCTTGTGGTATCGAAAATGGTATCGAGTATCGAATATTCTCCTGAGTATCGGTATCGAGTTGAAAATTTTAGTTTAGTTTAGTTTTTTTAGCACTTACACGCTGATGTGGTCTTTGATGAGGTCGTACACCATCAGGTTGTTGCTGACTTTGGCGAAGTACAGGGCGGTGTTCTTGTGCTTGGAGGTGGTGTTGCAGTCGGCTCCGTACTCCAGCAGGAGGCGGACGATGTCCGTGTTCCCCCGTTTGCACGCCTGGAAGCAGAACAAAAAACCGTCATTAACCCTAACCCTAACCCTAACCCTAACCCTGACCGCAGAGGTCCCGGCTCTGTGAAACTCCTCCCTAATGCCGGATCCCTCCTCTTCCAGAAGGCTTTGGAGCTTCTCTTTAATCCCGTTTAAACCGAGACACTTCGAGGGGAATTAGATAAATCCCATTTACCGGCGGCTGTGCCGCTTAAATTCAGAAGTCCCGTCCTCAGTGGGAGACTGGGCCCATCTTTCAGGCTGCGTCTGGACCATGGCCGCCATCTTGAAAGCCGCCATGTTGGATCAAGAGGGAGTTTCTCCCTAACGGGGAGCTGGTCGTGTAGCACATCAAATAAGAGCAAAAACCGATAGCTCTGATCACTTATCACGAGAGAGATGGAAAATCTGATTTTGGCAATCGATTTCTTGGCATTAATCCAATATGGTGGCTTTCAAGATGGCGGCCATGTTCCTGACACAGCCTAAAGGAAAGTAAAACGATGACCTGTCACTTTTGACTCTGGTCCTCCCCCCACCCACA